AGGCTCCTATTTCCATATAAACAGCCACCTTTGAGACTAATCAAAATACTTGGAACACCAAACCGAACAGTCTCACGTTACACAATCCTGCCATATATCACAATAAGACTACACTCCTACGGGCTGAACAGAGACAGAACACATTTAGAGTACTGAACACATTATAATGCTAGACAATATATTAGTAATACACTAACCCTCCTTAAAATCACATTTAGCTTCACTAATGGAGGCTAAACACTTGATGACGGCCGGTGTTTTGGATCCACTTCCATTACAGTCATCGTCCTTTACTGCCTTATCTTCATCTCACGTTCACCACGAGTGTGTGTGAGCAGAGGATGGACCATGAAGTTAAACACACACATTTAACTGGAGCAGATAGGTTCTCTTGTACTGTGCCTGCTGACCAGCCTCCGGACATGTATGTGGCCTGAGAGCTTCTTACCCTCCAGGGTATTTATGACGGCAACTGCAGGCAAACCAGGAAACACAGCAACAGGTTTTTCTGTATGTTTCCCGGCAGAGACAACTGAGAGATCTGCTCAAGAGAGAATCAAATGAAAACAGTCAAACTAGGAAAAACCTGTTGAGGTAAAATGCAGATGTATGAACTCCTGGTTGCTTTCAGCCTCTTCACAGCTGTCAAACTAAAACATGTTCAAAAACTACATACAAATAAAAAGTGCTGCTTACATGCAGGAGATAAACTGACTGATGCTTGTTGTAACTCCTCCATCAGCTTTCACAGGACTGATCTGAGCCGGTCACAGAACCGGCGCTGGTCAGCCATAGGACAGTCACGCTAAACGTCCCAGACTCTTCCAGCATCGCTCTACCTACCAATCCACCTTCTGACTATGAAGCTTTCGCCCCCTGCGGACTTGAAAGGCGGCCGTTAAAAGTTTGTAGTTTCCTCGCAGACAGAACAGCAGCTTGAATTCATTGGGCTGAAGCGGATTCCTACGGTGACGAGCTTTCACAGCGGAAAACAAGAAGAACCGAGTCGGCCACAGGAATTCCTCAGACATGTTCTGGAGACCTCTCCTCTTCTGTCCTCAGGATGATCAGCGTCTCAGCTCCCTGTCGTGGGATCGATGAACTTCATCTCATCTTAAGGGGAACCAGAAGCCGGAGCTATGTGCATACCTGTCGGCTTCTGTCCTGCAGGTGAGCTCCCCATAAGGTCCACATCAGATCAGTTACATCACAGGCTGAACAAAGGCAGCCTCAGGTGATAAATCCTGATAGATTTTCTGGTCAAGTGGGCACAAGACCTAGAGACTGACCTCTGGGGGGGTCACAGCTTCCCTAATGTTGTCCTCCACCACGGTGATAAACCAGCCGAGACAGGGGGTCCGGGTGAGTCATGGGGAGGCCTGAGCTCCAGTGTGAGAGGTCACAGTATATCACATGGCCTATGAATTCTGCTGCTTCTGTGGCCGGGTCAAGGTCAGAGGGAACCTGAAATACCTTCTAGGAGGAGCAGGAACTGAAGAGAAACAACACAAGGTTAGAACAACAAGCAGCTGTTTGCTCAGCAGCTACCACCTCTGAAGCTTACGTAACCCAAAGTCACATTATAAAGTCTAACGTTATCCAGATCGCTTATCTACGAGCCGAGCAAACGCCAGGTTTCTTCTGCTGAACTCCCCCTGCTAATAAAATGATGGATAGTTTTTCCTCCAGACTCCGGAGCATGAATGAGGTGAAGCATGCAGCCCCGGTGACGGCTGAAAAATAAACAGGCATTATCGCACAATGGTGGATGAAAACGCACCCAGAAGTCAAAGCCCTTAAAGTGGCTTATATAAGCCTCCAGGATGGCTGTGAGTCTGCCCAGCTTGATGTGTTTAGGGCTGATGATTGCTTTCAGTTGTACAGCCTGGCTGGGAGAGCAGGCCAAACACAAACCTTCACATTTTTTCCTGACTCAAACCCATCCTTGCTGAATTAAGGGAACTTGCAGACACACATGCATCAGCGGTATGGCAGAGAGCAGAGGGGGGCTGCTGCTGGTGCTGGTGGTGGTGGTGGTGCTGGTGGTGCTGGTGGTGGTGGTGGGGAGGAATGTCAGCATCTGTGTTGGGATATTTTCTGTTTTATGGCTGTTTTCTCAGAGATGCCAGTGACTGCTGTGGTGAGCGCACAGGGACTGGGCTGCAGGCCCGGCCTCGCTACCTCATGTCTGTCCACGTGGGCAGGAGATACCGAACCAGACATAGTTTCTAAATCGAGTCACCACAAGTTAATAAAAGACAGTGTGATGGTGTTTTCTCTGTGCTGCTTTACGGTTTCTCCTTGTTCCTGTCGTATTCGTGTTTATGACTCCCCTCCTGTTTGCTGGGTGTCTGGTTGCTCTATAAATACCCACAGCACAAGCCCTGTTTTTCTACTGCATAAGAAGCATAAAAGATATGATTACATGGCGCAACAGCGATCGTGTAATTGCTTTGTAAGCAAACTTTACTGACATGACCCAGAAGGGAGTGAAAACAGAGGGGGAGATGCGGTAGGAGAGAGGCATGATTGATAAAGATTATCTCCAGGAATTAAGGGAAAGGCTGCGTTTTCCACTCGCGGCCAGACTGTGTGCTGACGTGGGATGTAGTTTTTGGCTGGACGGAGCCGTGTTTCACAGCGAGGGCTGCCTGCTGGGGTGGATGTAGTCCTGTGTAAAAGCTGACAGATGACAGAGGAAGGTGTGTGTGGCAGATGTGGAGGGTAATAGATTGACAGGATGTTTATCAGGAATGCTGCGGGGTGACCCCAAACCCCCCACAGCCACTTCATAACACACCAGTGATCATGTGGTCACAATACATTACAGCCTGGTGGCCTCCGACTCTCCCTGTCAGGCTCAGCGGAGTCATTATGGCGGACGGCTAAACTTCCCATTAACGTAATATAAATCTAATTCCTCAAAAGTTAAATCAGCTTGTCGGATTAATTATTCAAAATCTTATTTAGCTGAATCTATTTTCAGTGAATCGTTTTCGGGAAATTAACTTCTTTCTTACAGCAAATTAGCAAAGAGGACATCACTGGAATTATCAAGCTGAGACGGTAGCTACTTAGCTTAGCTTAGCTTACTGTAATGTAGCACAGAGAATCAGCTGGTGTGGTCCTGTTTAAATGTTGAAGTAAATAAAACATTTTTAAAAAAATTGTTAATTCACACCAAAACTGCAGTATTAAAACCTAACAGAGAAAGTTTGCTGAGATAATATCTTGTCATTTTGAGTAAGCAGCTACTCAGTTAAGCTCCTGTTAGCATAGTGCTAACAATCAGCTAGCCTGGCTCAGTCTCAGTCTGACACAATCCAAAGACCCCATATTAAGCTACTGCTTACTTGTTTGCCAAAAATTGCAGTAAAAATAAAAAAAGTTAAATGAAAGTATAAAAATGTGACAGAGAGGGTTAGATGAGAAAATTCCACGTACACTGTTGGGTTGGTAAAGTTTGTGCAAGTAACCTCTTAGCTTAGTTTAGCGCTTAGCATCTAAAGACCACATAACAAGCAACTGTTTGCTTATTTGTACAGAAACTGAAACATAAAAACATAACTGAGAGAGTTGGTTAAGAGAATACCACTGGTGTTTGTTACAGTATGTTGGTACACTTTGAATAAGCAATCACTTTAGCTTAGCTTACTATAGCATAGCGCAGAAATCAGCTAGCCTGGCTCTCTAAACTATAATAGAACAAATCCTTCCTACCACCATCTAAACACCACATTAGGCTGAGGTTTGTTTATTTGTACAAAAACCTAAATGTCAAAACATAACTGTGGGAGTTAGTCGAGAAACATGACTGACATTATGTTGATAAATTCAGCGTAAGTAGCCACTTAGCTTATTTTAGCTTAGCACCAAGAATCCCTTGGTACTGCCTGCCTACACCACATGTTTTGTTTATATGTAGAAAAGCTTAAGTATAAAAAACAACATGAAAGTAGGTCAGCTCAGAAAATACCGCTAGCATGAACATGTTGGTAAATACTGAGCAAGTAGCCACCTAGCCTGGCTTAATTTAGCTTAGCTTCGGCTAGTCTTTGTCTGTCTAAACTTTGAAGGTAAGAAAATTCTATATGTCAGAACGTAAAGACCACACATTAAGCTAATGTTTATTTATTAAGCAACAACTTAAGTATGTAAAATAATTAGCTATGGTTTTATTGTGTGCACTGACTGCTAGTCTCAGCTAGCATAAATAGCATAGCTAGCAAACAACTAGAAACACTGACACTCTTAAAATAAATCCAAAATTTTGGGCTTTTACACATCAAATTATCTAAAGGCATTAATACAACAAACAGTATATATTTATTTTTTCCCTTTTCGGGAGTGAGCTAGCAGCTTCCGGTGTTTGTGCTAAGCTAAAGTTAGCTTCTTCTTCTGAGGGAACAACGGCCTCGTCCATCAGAGAACTTTACTCTGAGTTACATCTCTGCCCTTTGTTGTGTTGATTCGGCAGATTATCGATGCAAAACGGGCCGATAGTGGTCCACATGTTCCTGGTTCCTGGAACCAGCCAGAACCCACCGGAGCCGTGGCAGGCGCGTGCGTGAATCCACACATAAAGCCGCGGAAATCCTGCTCCGCGTGTCAGTGGATTGTTGTGGAGAAGAAAGGGCTTCACTTTGTCTGCGTGGGGGTGGGAGGAGGGCCGGAGGAGAAGGGGGTGTTCCTCCGTGTCCCCTCCTCCTCCTCACCCACTGACTGTGGAGGAGAAAGCCCCGGACCGGCCCCGGACCAGCCCCGGACCAGCCCCCTTCCATTCCCATGGATCGTGTTACGGGAGACTCCGGCTCCGAGACATCTGCTCCGCTGCTAACAACGGAGCGCGTCCCCGCGGCTCTTGCGACCGATCCCGTCTGCTGTGGTGCCCCCTCCTCCTGCTCCTCCTCCTCCTCCTGCTCCTGCTCCTCCTCCTCCTCCTCCTCCTCCTCCTGCCCTCTTCCCCAGAACTCTGAGCTCCTCCGTTATTTGCGTTGAACGCGGTGATCATGCGGAGCCACCGTGCATGTGCCCTCCACGCTTCCCGGCTCTAGTCCCTGCGCGTCCCTGCTCCATCCCGGCTCCGGCGGAGCGACCAGCGGACCAGCGGACCAGCGGCGCCCGGTGCCGTCGAGCAGCGCGTTTCTTTTTGTCCGTGCCCCGGCGGGCTGCTGGCTGCGCGGCTCCATCCTGTCGTAGGAGAGGACACCGGAGGGCGGATGGAAACAGCGCCGATGTGCGGAGCTCTGAGGCGGGAGATCTAGTTCTGTTCTCGGTCTTTGTGCGAGTTTGCTTCTTGTTTGTTGTGACACCATGGAGTCGGTGGAGAAGGAGTGCGGAGCGCTGGGGGGACTGTTCCAGGCCATCGTCAACGACATGAAGGTAGCGCGCGCGCACACACACACACACACACACACACACACACACTACAGTATGACGGCTGTGTGTGACCTCTGAGGTTCGGATCAGAGGACCGTTTTACTGCCTTTGTCTCTCCACCGGGTCCTCCCCCACCGGAGCACCGCCGCAGGACGGACTGAGGGGACTCGGTCCCTTTGTCTGATCTGCATGTGCAGCAGGTCGGTCTCATTAGCAGCCCTCCATCCACCGGGTCAGTCTGAGCTCCACACTGGACCTCAGCTCAGCTCCGTCCTGGTTTAATCACAGCCCTGTTTGGTCCGAGCCCAGCACCACCACCAGGTGACACAGGCCCTTCATGGTCAGCAGAACCAGGAGCAGGAACCCACAGTGGGTAGATGTATGACCCTGCAGGGGGCCATCTGACCCCAGACCACTGTTCGCTCTTCGTCCACCGCGCTCCACATGAAGCGTCAGCACTGGACGGATGCTCTGGAAGAACACAGCAGCTCCATCACCTCCACCTCCTGAGCAGCACCGGCCATGAAAGCTGTTGTTGGGCCCTGTGGCAGGAAGTCACTCCACGTGCAGCGTGTTGTTCGGTCCGATCCGGCCTCGGCTCAGGGACTGGACCGACTCGCCTGCAGCTTATTGGAGTAAATCATGAGTTTGTTGCCTCTCAGGGTGGTTAGAAGTAACCCTTCAGGAGGAGTGAGTTGTCCTGTGTTCCTGTGAGTGGGGGAGGGGCGGGTGGAGGAAGCTGAACCAGGGTGGTCTGTTGTTGTTCGTGGCAACAGATGGAAAGTGTGAACGTATTCATGGAGGAAGGAGGAAGCTCCCTCTGCTCATTGTCTGGTGATGCACAAAGTGTTGGTGGTGAGAAGTGGAGCATCAGGCGCCACTTTGAGCCGCTCTTATTGATCAGCGGCTCACGGGCCAGCGGTGCCGTTGGACTATTTATGGAGCCCTCGTCTGTCAGGCTCCAGTGAAGGCAGCTCTGTGGGCTGCTGGCCGGCCCGGTTTGGTTTCATATATTTCCCCTTTTGTGTTGCGCTCACGCCAGAGCCGGAGAGAGACAGAGGCTCTTAGAAAGAGGCAGTCTGTGTATTGATAAGCAGCACAGATGAAAGAGGCTGAAGCCCTGAGTCAGCACAGTATCCATGTCCACTGTCTGAGACAGACATCTGACCTCATTCCTGCCGCCTGACTGGACCACGCAAGCCTGTCGGACCGGCTTAACCCCCCGGGAGCAGTGCAGCAGCACAGCTTCCCTGATTGGGAACGATGTTAGCGTGTAGCACTTATCTGGATGGAGCACTGAGGGAACTCAGCGCTGCACAGAGCCAGTGTGTTGGCACAAGCTGCACCTGTTGGTTATATAAGAGTCTGACGAAGCCACAGCAAAGAAGGAAAGAGGAGGAGGTGTTAGAACAGGAGGTAAAGGGTGAAACCAGAAAAAAGAGATGATTCAGCGTGACTGGATCGGGAGAATTAGATAAGCAATTAGATCAGATGTGCTTTCAAGCCTCTGCATGTGGGAAAACAAATGAAAATGTCCTTGAGCAGCATTGCTTAGCAGCTCCTAGGATAATGCTTTTAACCTCAGCCTCCATGAGTGACAGGCCGTGGGAGGAACTTCCTGTCCTCACTTCCAGCCTTCATGCTGCCCTGCTTCCCTGGATGCTGCTGCTGGGTGTGGATGAAGGTGGGAATGTGAGCCCCCCTGCTGCTCTGCCTGTAGCCCTCCTGCCCACTTGTCCAGCCCTCAGCTGTCCTGGCAGCCCGTCCCTGCTGCCCTGGGAGCTGCAGACCACACAAGCTAATTAGACACCTGTTGAAGTCAAGTGCGAACAGCAGAGCGAGGAGGTTAATGGCAAAGCACTTCTGTTTTCTTTTTGAAAGATGATGCTCCTAAATCACTTTCTCAGGCGGACGCTTCATCTGAGAGAAGCAGGAGTTTGACGGCGTCACCGGCAGACCGGAGCTCAGAGCAGACGTGATGAACGCGAGGCTCTCTCCAGATTGCATGGCGGCTATATATAGTCAGAATGTGTAACCCCGTTCGGCTTCTCTCCATCAGAGAGGCACATGGGGGTTATGCCCTTCCCTTCCTTACTCCAGGGCTCAGCTCTCGCTCTAATGGGATCTGGCCTTGGATGTGTTTTATGTTTGGCTGCTGCTCTGATGCTCGTGGCAGCGTGTGATGATCCCGCCCGGCCTCAATCTAATCCAGGTTTTCTTAGACAAGCTCATACTACCTGCCCAGTGCACATAAACAGTCATGATATGAGGGCTTACGGAGCTCATGTGTGCAGCAGACATGTGAGCGTACCTATGAGAGCGGGTCGCGGTACCGCTCACGGATCACAGTTCAACACTATGCACTCAGAAGTCACGCTGACCTTTTAAAGACAAGTCCGAGCATGAACCGATCTGCTTCTCACCCCAGGGCGAAGAAACCAAGCCCTGTCTGATTTATTGCAGCCTTTCTGGATTCTCATTTAGTATCTTATCCGTGTGTATGAAACAGAAAATGCGTTTACTGTGAATAAAGCTGACAGTGAGGTTTTTATCGAGTCGTACCAGATCCGGACCTCAGAGACAGAACGCTGCGTCTCCTCCTATCTGTATGCACGGCGTGTGTTTGACAGAGCATGCTCGTGCACTTCAATGTCCTTGGTTTCTTTGACTCAGTACTTTTCCTCTCTCTTATCAGAGCTCTTACCCTGTGTGGGAAGACTTCAGTGCCAAGGCCACAAAGCTGCACTCTCAGCTCAGGTGAGAAGTGGTTCCAGTGAGCGGCGGCAGAACCTCAGTGACAAAATATTCTTATGCAATGTTTACAGACTCTTATGCAGCCAGAGTGTACTCAGCATGTTCCCATTTATTTACAGGACCACTATTCTGGCAGCGGTGGCCTTTTTAGATGCCTTTCAGAAGGTGGCGGACATGGCGACCAACTCTAGAG